AGAGAAGAGGGTGGGGTCCAAGGGCCTGGCGTCATGGTCCAGCCTTTTGTTGTTGTTTTTCGCAATCTTTGCCCACCTTTGCCTGGCGTGACCGTTTTGTGCAAAGGATCTGCTCCCTGCTTTATCGCTTATTTCCCTCGGCTGTCAACTGCGCCCCAGAGTTCCTTCTGCTGGGGTGGGGGCTGGTTCATAGGCTCTCCAAGGTTGCTTCCAAGTCTTGTTATTTTGGTCATTCTGTAAGGGTTTTCAGCTTAAGCAGGGGGTTAAACTTAATAATAATAATAATAATAATAATAATAATAATAATAATAAGTGGACCACTTGGTAAGCTGTTGCAAGAAGATTGCACAGACTGATTACAAGCAACGGCATGATAAAGTAGCAACAATGGTGCATTGGAAGATCTGCAAAAAATATCATTTGCCTGTAAGCAAAAACTGGTGGGATCATAAAATAGAGAAAGTCATAGAAAATGATAAAATTAAACTGCTCTGGGACTTCAGAATTCAAACAGACAAGCACCTGCAACATAACACCCCAGACTTAACAATTGTCGATAAGAAAGACAAAAAAGTCTGGATAGTGGACGTGGCAGTGCCTGGAGACAGCAGAATAGAAGAGAAAGAACTGGAGAAGATCACAAAATACAAAGACCTACAAATAGAAATAGAAAGACTGTGGCAAAAGCAAGCAAGGGTAGTACCAATAGTCAAATTAGAACTGCCAATCCACCAAAACTGGATCTGCATACAACACCATTGGGGACAACAAAGGGCTTTATGGCCCTCACTTCCTTCTTTACCTTCAAAGCGCTGAATCTGAATGTGTGTTTATAATAACCTCGAACATTAACATACCAAGGGTGGGTTCCTTCATGTAGTATCTGAAGTCCATCCAGACGAACAAAGCGAAAGGAGTGAATATGATACATAAAATAATAAATAATATAATAATAATAATAAAATACTGGGAACCCCTTCAACCAGATGGAGACTTGAACCCCAAGCCTGTCTACATGCCTCACCATTACCTTAATAGGCTTCCTGTTGGATGAGTATGATGGTATTACAGTCTCTCGCATGGAAAGCAGTTCCTCCTAAGGCGCCTTTTGCAATTGACTAATAGCGAATTTGTCAATGCCAATGGTGTTCAAGTGGTGCTCCAGTTGTTTTGGGATTGCACCCAAGGAGCCTATGACTATTGGTACTACCCTTGCTTGCTTTTGCCACAGTCTTTCTATTTCTATTTGTAGGTCTTTGTATTTTGTTATCTTCTCCAGTTCTTTCTCGTCTATTCTGCTGTCTCCAGGCACTGCCACGTCCACTATCCAGACTTTTTTGTGTCTTTTTTATCGACAGTTGTTAAGTCCGGGGTGTTATGTTGCAGGTGCTTGTCTGTTTGAATTAATAATAATAATAATACCATCAAACATCCACATGTGCCTATCCCAGGTCCTGGGTAAGGACTCGATAGGTAGACAAAATGCCAAATCCAGTCTGAACATCTGGCTGACTGTGCGATGATCCATAAAAATAACAATAAAGTTGGAAGGGACCGTGGAGGTCATCTAGTCCGACCCCTTGCTCAGGCAGGAAACCTTAGACCAGTGATGGCGAACCTTTTAGAGACTGAGTGCCCAAACTGCAACCCAAAACCCACTTATGCATCGTCAGGTGCCGGGTCGATGTGGCCCATTGGGTAGGCATGGCCCATTGGGTGGGCATGGCTGTGGTGGTAAAGGCAGATTGGGTGGGACTAAAAAGTTCCATCAATCAATTCCAACTTTGCAAGATCTTTTTTGTTCCCGTGAGAAGTTGAAATTGACTGATTGATTGAGCCTTTTTTTTTTGTACACAGTGGCGGAGGCCTAAAGGGAAAAGGCTTTATAAAACCTAGCTTAAGCCCACGCAACTTGGGCGTCCTCGTGGACTCACAGCTAAATTTGGAACAACTTCTATCGGCTTGGCCAGGGGGGGGGGGACCTTTGCCCAGGTTCGCCTGGTGCACCAGTTGCGGCCTTATTTGGACCGGGAGGCTCTACTCACGGTCACTCATGCCCTTGTCACCTCAAGACTGGATTACTGTAATGCGCTCTACACGGGGCTACTCTTGAAGAGCGCTCGGAGGCTGCAGTTGGTTCAGAACGCAGCCGCGAGAGCGATTGTGGGCGCGCCAAGGTACACCCACGCGTCACCGATCCTCCGCGAGCTGCACTGGCTTCCTGTGGGTCTCCGGATGCAATTCAAGGTGTTGGTTGTCACCTTGAAAGCCCTTCATGGCTTAGGACCAGGTTACTTACAGGACCGCGTACTGCTGCATAGTTCCCAGAGACCGGTGAGGTCCCACAGATTGGGCCTCCTTCAGGTCCCGTCGGCTGGCGGGCCCTCGGGGAAGGGTCTTTTCTGTGGTGGCTCCGACCTGGTGGAATCAACTTCCCCCCCGAGGTTCGAACTACTCCCACATTGCCGGCCTTCAAGAAAGCTATTAAAACTCTCCTGTTCCGGCAGGCCTGGGGCTGATGTCCCCGGGGGGGGGGGACACGATTGGGACATGCTGTGTGAATGCACTCATTTTTATGGTTATATTTATTGTTTTAATTTTGTACGCCGCCCTGAGTCCCTCGGGATTGGGCAGCATCTAAATGTTATTAATAAAGAAAGAAAGAAATAGTGGGGGGAGGAGAGAAAGAGGAGGGAAGTAAGGAAGGTATTAGGCAGGGCGGATGCAGCTTGGGGGGAACGAGCAAGCGGCACCCACGGTTACGGTTATGCTTATGATTGTGAATTTATTTTATTTTGTAAAGTGAATTTTGTTGTATAACTATGTTGGATAAATGGAAAATAAAAAAGTTTTTATTAAAAAAAAGAGAGAGAAACTAGAGCTGGTCTTCAAGTCCTAGTACAATGGTTCTCAACCTTTCTAATCCCATAATACAGTTCCCCATGTTGGGATGACCCCCAACCACTTATACATCACCAGGTGCCAGGGGCATGGCCAAAGGGGGAAAAAATGGCGGACAGCCTTGTTAGGCGACCCCCGTGAAATGGTTGTTCGACTCCAAATGGGGTCCCGACCCACAGGTGGAGAACCACTGTCCTAGTACCTCTGGAAGTAAAGTAAAGTAAAGTAAAGATGCTTTGTGCTTCAGCTTCCGTTTACGTAGCTAAATAGTATTATGTATAAGGAACATTTGGCCTACTTCTAGTCAACCCTTAGTAGAAAACAAATGTTCCATTTAAAAGAGGCACGGCCCAATGGGGGCTTGAGTTGAGCATTGTCGTAAAAGAACTTGTTTCAGGAGCCAGACCCCCCCCCAACTTCCTGCTGCCCCTTTGGCCACGGGACACCCGACACCTTTTCCCCCTGTTTGCCGTGAAGACCGGAAACCCGTCGGTAAAGGAAAGTGGAGGAACAAGGCCGAATGTCAGAATGGAGGGTTTGTCCTGAAGCTTTTCACCCTCAGGACAAACCCTCCATTCTGACACCCCCCTCCGGTATGTCCTCAATTCTATGTTCCCCTCCTCCGGGATGATCCCCTTCCCCTTCTCCCTTTTGGGTGCATCCTGGCCCGGACCCCGTTAAGCTGAGGGGGCCGACCAGGCCCTTCTCCCCAAATCCCCCCTTAAAAACACACGGCCTCTTTTTCCTAAGCAAGGAGGAGATTTAATAAGAAGGTTACAGGCTGAAACAGAAAGTCCAGGTTGGCCCATGGAAGGTGTGGGAGAGGACTATAGAATCGGCCTTGCAGCTGTTAGGAAAACGTGAATTCACCCCGGGAAAACAGGAATGGGTGAGCAAGAAGCTCAAGGCTGCCTTGTCTTGATGTGCTTTGGTGCCAGTGGGAGCGAAGGGGAGACACTTTCAGGATTCTGCTGGTATTCCCTATATCAAATCAAGCCAAGCTCTAATATTTCGTGTGGTGGCAGTTTCCTGGTCTGGTCTACCTTGATGCGCTTTGGTGCCCGCGGGAGCGAACGGAAGATGTTTTCAAGATTCTGCTAGTATAATTGGCACCGATAAAATCTAATATTTGTTGTGTCGGTGGTTTCTCGGCCTGGTCTGCCTCGAAGGATTGACACATGGGGAAGTCCCAAAGAAAACATGTGGCAACTGTTAAGAAAACGTGAATTCACCCCGGGAAAACAGGAACGGGTGAGCAAGAAGCTGAAGGCTGCCTTGTCTTGATGCGCTTTGGGGCCAGCAGAAGTGTACGGGAGATGCTTTCAAGATTCTGCTACTATAATCGGCACAATAAAAACTAATATTTGTTGTGTCGGTGGTTTCTCGGCCTGGTCTGCCTCGAAGGATTGAGAGATGGGGAAGTCCCGAAGAAAACATGTGGCAACTGTTAAGAAAACGTGAATTCACCCAGGAAAACAGGAATGGGTGAGAAAGAAGCTCAAGGCTGCCTTGTCTTGATGCGCTTTGGTGCCAGCAGGAGCGTACGGAAGATGCTTTCAAGATTCTGCTACTATGGTATGATCTGTACCAATAAAGTCTAATATTTCTTGTGTCTGGGGTTTCTCGGCCTGCTCTGCCTTGAAGGATTGACAGATGGGGAAGTTGTAAGGTTTTCCACTTAACCTCACAATTGCCCCAGCATTACTCAGGAATTTAAAAGAGCCAAAGAAACTCCTGAGCCAAGGTGTCAGCAAGCAAACAACTTTTATTTTGATCAAAACAGAGTTGGGTGACCCCATCTCTCTTCGTGGCTGGTAGAGAGATGAAGGCAACAACCAGAAAAGATGTCTTCCACCTTTTATACCTTTTCAGAACAAAGAGATCAGGTCTTGGTACCAGACATAAGATGGCACAAAAAAACAATTCCTAGATGATGACTCATACACAGCAACCCAGGCTCCATCCGTAACTCCTTTTCCCCCTCCCCTTACTGTGCTCTTTTCATATAAGCAATCACCTGTACCTAAAGCATGAAGCCCTTACTTTTCCAATATATATATGAAGCATCTGATCAAGCAATTAACTATAAAATAATGATTACAAAATAACAAAACAATGATTACATGATAACACTATAAGTATCAATATAAAATGGTTACTATATATAAAATAAATGCTAATGTCAAACTTAAACATACTAAAATCATAAGCACAATAAAATCCTTTCAAAGTCCCAAAGAAAATACGTGGCAGCTGTTAGGAAAACATGAATTCACCACAGGAAAACAGGAACGGGTGAGAAAGAAGCTCAAGGCTGCCTTGTCTTGATGTTCTTTGGTGCCAGCGGGAGCGAAGGGGAGACACTTTCAGGATTCTGCTGGTATTCTCTATATCAAATCAAGCCAAGCTCTAATATTTCGTGTGGTGGCAGTTTCCTGGTCTGGTCTACCTTGATGCGCTTTGGTGCCTGCGGGAGCGAACGGAAGATGTTTTCAAGATTCTGCTAGTATAATTGGCACCGATAAAATCTAATATTTGTTGTGTCGGTGGTTTCTCGGCCTGGTCTGCCTCGAAGGATTGACACATGAGGAAGTCCCAAAGAAAACATGTGGCAACTATTAAGAAAACGTGAATTCACTGTGGGAAAATAGGAACGGGTGAGCAAGAAGCTCAAGGCTGCCTTGTCTTGATGTTCTTTGGTGCCAGCGGGAGCGAAGGGGAGACACTTTCAGGATTCTGCTGGTATTCTCTATATCAAATCAAGCCAAGCTCTAATATTTCGTGTGGTGGCAGTTTCCTGGTCTGGTCTACCTTGAAGGACAGATGGGTGGGAAGCCCCAAACAGAATGTCCTTCCAGAGGGACCTGGGTTCAGGATGGTGGACATGTAGGCTGTGAGGCCACTTGAGGGCAGAATGTTCCCGGGCCCTTGAAGGAAGTCCTGTCATCTGAGGGGAGAAACTGGGTTCTCGGCAGAAGGAATCGGCTCAGGGTGACTCCGCTACGAATCTCTGATTCGGGTTCTTTGGCGGTCTCCCAACGAGGGCTGGATTAGAACTCAGCGCAGAAGGGGGGAAAGCAGGGCGGTGGCCTTTGACAGAGCAGCCCCCTTGGAGCAGAGGATCCCTGAGAGAAGATTGCTGGTGTCCGTTAGGCCACAAGACACCAGGCGTCATTCTTTCGTTCGTACCGCTCGTCGTCGTCCTTCATCATGTCCTCCGTGTAACAAGGAGCGTCTATGTTCTTCCACACCAGCTCGTCAATCATGGTCATCAGTTCGGCCAGCTGAGCCTCCCGTTCTTCTCCTTTGGCCTTGTTGTCGAAGGCCAGGCAGCGGTGCCCACACTGGGCCACCAGTTCCCGAAGCGAGGCGTCTCCCTCGGCTACGAATTCCTCCACAGTCTTACCTTTCAGGTCAGGCTTGTGGGTGAACAAGAGGATCGTGTAATTCCTGACCTTCGGGCTGAAGATCCCCTCGATCCGCCGAGACACCGCCTCTTCTTCCTGGGAGAAACGGCCAGGATGAATTACCCGCAGGATAACGTGGGGACCCGGCTGGCACATGATCACGCACTTGCTGACTTCGGCAGCGGTTGCCCACTGGGAAGGCTTAGAGCTCAAAAAGCCTGGCGTGTCGACCACCGCAACCGTCCGGCCCTTCCACCTCATCTCCTCCTTTTGGCAAATCTGGCTTCCGGATGGCCACAACTGAAAGTGAAAGACGTTGCCACCCAGGATGGTGTTTCCCGTCGCACTTTTCCCGTTTCGACTTTTGCCCACCAGGACGATCCTCCGCTCGGGCCCTGCAACCCAAAGGGGGAGGGGGGAGAGGAGAGAAGAAGGGGATCCTGGTCAGGACAGCAGCTTTTGACCCCCAGACCATCCACCCGCCTGCCTGCCCGCCCGCCCCTCCAGGGCCCAAGACTTTACCTCGGAGGCCCTCCGCCATGTTCAGAAGAATTCACGCCGGAGCAAACCTCGAGCTTCCTGGCTGAAAAAAAAAAATGAAACAGAATCGGCCAAAGGAGAGGCTAGCCTTACCCGCGCTTTTATTTGGCGATTCCGTAAGGGTCTCCTGCTCAAACAGGGGGCTGGACTAGATGACCTCCAGGGTCCCTTCCCACTGTTCTTCTGTGATTCCGTAATGGTCTCCTGCTTGAGCAGAGGGCTGGACTAGATGACCTCCGAGGTCCCTTCCCACTGTGTTCTGTGATTATGTAAGTGGCTCCTGCTCAAGGGGGCTGGACTAGATGACCTTCAATGTCCCTTCCATTTCTATTCTATTCTATTCCATTCCATTCCATTCTTATTCTTAGAATAGAATAGAATAGAACAGAACAGAACAGAACAGAACAGAATAGAATAGAATAGAATAGCTGGAAGGGACCTTGGAGGTCTTCTAGTCCAGCCCAACACTGAAGCAGGAGATTAAGCTTTGAGAAGCCAGCAAAAGGGAAACCGAGGAACAGGTGACAGGTGGAGAGACAGGCCTTGTCCCTGGCTGAGCCTGGACAAAGTCCGAGGTGTGCCTGCATTTTATGGCCCTGTTTATACCTAGGATATCAGGGAGTGCTCACCTGTTTATGAAAGTTCACTCTTCCCAGCCTTCCAAGGGGGGAGGGGTGGTATCCCGAATGCTTCTTGGGCTGGTGGGGCTGCTTGGGAGGCAGAATAATTGTAATAATTATAATAATATATAATAATATATAATAATAAATAATGGTGATGGTGGTGGTGATGATGATGATGATGATGATGATGATGATGAATGGAAGGAAATGGAATGGAATAAAATAGATGGGATAAGAATAGAATAGAACAGAATAGAATAGAATTAGAATAGAATAGAATAGAATAGAATAGAATAGAATAGAATAGAAAGGAGAATAGAATAAGAGAATAGGAGAGAAAGAATAGAATAGAATAAGGAATAGAATAGAATTAGAATTGAATAGAAATAGAATAGAATAGAATAGAATAGAATAGAATAGAATAGAATAGAATAGAATAGAACAGAATAGAAAATAGAATGGGATAGGATAGGATGGGGTAGGATAGGATAAGAACAACAGAATAGAAAATATGGAATAGGTTAGGATAGGATAGAAAATATGGAATAGAATTAGAATAGAATAGAATAGAATAGAATAGAATAGAATAGAATAGAATAGAATAGAATAGATGATGATGACGATGATGATGATAATAATAATATATAATAATAAATAATGGTGGTGATGATGATGATGATGAATGGAAGGAAATGGAATGGAATAGAATAGAATAGAATAGAATAGAATAGAATAGAATAGAATAGAATAGATGATGATGACGATGATGATGATAATAATAATATATAATAATAAATAATGGTGGTGATGATGATGATGATGAATGGAAGGAAATGGAATGGAATAGAATAGAATAGAATAGAATAGAATAGAATAGATGATGATGATGATGATGAGATGATGATGATAATAATAATAATAATAATAATAATAATAATAATAATAATAATAATAATAGTTGGAAGGGACTGTGGAGGTCACCTAGTCCAACACATGGCTTAAGCATGAGACCCTTACAGAACAGCAGAGTTAAAATAATAATAAAATAGAATAGAATAGAAATAAAATAGAATAGAACTAGAAATAATAGGATAGGATAGGATATAGAACAGAATAGAACATAGCAGAATAGAATAGAATAGAATATGGAATAGGGTACCTTTCAATTCTTTATTCTATGATTCCGTAAGAGGGGGGTGGACTAGATGACCTCCAAGGTCCCTTTCCCTCTCTGCCGTTCTCTAAGGGTCTCCTGCTCGAGCGTGGGGGGGGGGAGGGTTGGAGTAGAAGATCTCCACGATCCCTTCCAACCGCGATCTTGTCTTATTCTCTAAGGGTCTCCGGCTCGAGCCGGGGGCTGGACTAGATGACCTCCCAGGTCCAAGCTCTGGGGGTTTTAAGTCCTCAGCTCGTCCGGTGGCCGGGCGGGGCTGGGGAGGGGAGGGGTAGGCAGCCGCGGCCCCTTCCCCTCTGCCGGACCCGAAGCCGACACGCAGCCCACCCACCCTTCTCTCCACGACCCTCCTGTCTGCGGAAGGGGTGGGGGGGAATCGCTGCCGCCCCCTCCCCGTTTTCCGGCGCCGGAGGGGAGGGGAGGGGAGGAGGGGAGGGGAGGGGACCCACCTGAGATCCTCCTCCGAGGAGCCGCGAGCAGCTTCTGCTCCTCCGCCCCAGTTGTCTTTCTCCGGGTGGGGGGGCGGGGCAGTCGGGGTGGGCGGAGTCTCCTTGACCCCCCCCTCCCATTAGTGAGATCCCTCCAGCCTTCCCCCCCCCCGTCCCTCGCTCCTCTATCTATCTATCTATCTATCTATCTATCTATCTATCTATCTATCTATCTATCTATCTATCTATCTATCTATCATTTCTCTATATCTATCTATGTCTTTGTCTAGTCTATCTATCCGTCTTTCTCTGTCTATCTCTATTTGTTTATCTATCTATTTGTCTATCTGTCAATCTATCTGTTTGTCTGTCTATATCTATGTTATCTCTATCTATCTATCTATCTATCTATCTATCTATCTATCTATCCTCTATCTATCTATATCTATCTATCTATCTCTATTTGTCTATCTATCTATCTATCTATTTGTCAATCTATGTATCAGTCTATCTCTATCTGCCTATCTATCTATATCTATCTCTGTCTATCTATCTGTCTATCTATCCATGTATCTATCTCTATCTATCTATCTATCTCATTTCTCTATCTATGTCTATTTGTCTATATCTATATCTATCTATATCTATCTATCTATATATATATATATATGTCTATTTCTATCTATGTATCAGTCTATCTGCCTATCTATCTATATCTGTCTGTCTGTCTCTCTGTCTGTCTGTCTGTCTATCTATCTCTCATTTCTCTATCTATGTCTATTTGTCTATCTATCTATCTATCTATCTATCTATCTATCTATCTATCTATGTCTATTTGTGTGTCTATCTATCTATCTATCTATCTATCTATTTCTATGTATCACTATCTGCCTATCTATCTATATCTATTTATCTGTCTGTCTATCTGTCTGTCTATCTATCTATCTATCTATCTATCTATCTATCTCTCTATCTATCTATCTAACTATCTAACTATCTATCTACCTCTATCTATCTATCTATCTATCTATCTATCTATCTATCTATCTATCTATCACTATGTATCTACCATCTTTCTCTCTCTCTCTCTCTCTCTCTCTCTCTCTCTCACACACACACACACACACACACACACACACACACACACCATTCCTGGCAAGCCCGTGGAGGGAATCTCGCCCCCCCCCCACGCGCGCTTCGGGCCGCCCCGCCCGCCAGTTGGAGGGCGGGGGAAACGGCAGAAGCCTCAAGTTCCGCACAAGCGAAGCGGCGGACGGGACGGAGGCGCCTTCGAGACCCCCCCCCCCATCGTCCCCCAGAGGTGAGCAACCCATCTCCCCCCCCACATGACCCCCCCCGCCCCTCTGCAGCAGGTGGGCCCCCCATGGGGCTCTGTTGGGGCTCGTCAGGCGGGCCAGCCCCCCCACCCCCCGCTTGAGCAGGAGACCCTGATTAGAATCACCGAATACTGTGTAGAAGAGCTGGAAGGGACCTCCGAGGTTATCTAGACCAGCCCCCTGCTCGAGCAGGACGACCCTTACAGAACCGCTGAGCTGAAAGGGACCCGGGAGGTCTGCTCGAGCACGAGGACCCTCAAAGAAGCACAAGAGTTAAAAAGCTGGAAGGGACCTCCGAGGTCATCTAGACCAGCCCCCTGCTCGAGCAGGACGACCCTTACAGAACCGCTGAGCTGAAAGGGACCCGCGAGGTCCGCTCGAGCACGAGGACCCTCCAAGAAGCACAAGAGTTAAAAAGCCGGAAGGGACCTCCGAGGTCGTCTAGTCCAGCCCCCTGCTCAAAGCAAAGGGGAGATCCGGGCTGGCTGCCACAGGATTCCAGGGAGACCCTCAAAGGCCCAGCATCCTTTTCCCCCCCCCCCGAGCAGAGGTCACTCGGACCAGCCCTGATCCCCCCCTTCAGCAATCTCTCCCCCCCCCCCCAAAGTGGCCCTGGGACTCCTTCGCTCTCTGCCGTTGTCGGCCTTGCCAAATTTCACCACGGTCTTAATCGGGGGATTAAGGGGAACCCCTGAACCCCAGCCCCGGAGGGAGGGGCCGGTGAGACACCCCAAGCCCCCCCCCCCAGGAAAGGGGTCCGCCGCCCCACTCCGGCTGCCTCCGAGACGGGATTCCGTCCGTGTTTTAGAGAGGGATCCATTCCCCGCGTGGAACGCCACTCCACTTTCCCTTTCGTCGGCTCCCTTCCTTTGAGACGGGTGCAGGGGGGGGCAGGGGGGAGACCCCCCTCCACTCCCCCAGGAAAGGGGTCTGCCCCCGTTTAGGGTCGGGGGCTTCCGTCGCTGGGTCTCCCGACTCCCCCCCCCCAAGGCGCAGGGCTCGCTTTGAACAGGAACGCCCCTCTCCCCACTGAAGCCCACCGGGAGAGGGGAGGGGAGGGGGCGGCGACCCCCGCCCGGGAAAGGGAGGGGGGCAACCAGCGCCGGATCCCGTCCCCGGGGGGGGGGGGAGAAAGCTTGCTCCGTCCTTCCTTTCCTTTCGGGCGCTGTTTCTGAAAAGAAGGTGAGGGGGGGGACCCAATTGGAGCGGGAGGACCCCCTCCCCAGCCCAGCCCCACCACCCCTGCCGGGGGCCGGCGGCTGGGGCGGGGGGGGGGAGGAAGCCGGGCGCTGTAGGAGCCCCACAGCCGGAGGGAAGGGGGGGGCACCTGGAAGGATAGGCGCATGTTGGCGGGTGGGGAGGGGTCCTCTCCGTGGGGCAGGGGGGGGTCCTGCGATCCCGGCTCTCCCCCCCCCACGGCCCGGTGCTGGCCTCTTCCCCCCCTCGAGTATCCCGCAGGCTGCTTTGCAAGGGGGAGGGGCTGCCGGGGGGTCCCCCAGATGGGGAGGGCAGGGAATTGGGTCTGGCGTCTTCCGTAAGACACCCCCCCCGGGTGTGGCTTCCTGAGTCCGCTCGGCTGAGCGGCTTTGGGGGTGGGGGTCTTCCAAGGGGGGGGCTGGCTACGCCGCTGGCTGGTCAGAGCTGGAGGGTCGACCCCCGCCCCCCGCCCTGCCAAGGGGGGTCCACATACCCCCGCCTCAGCCAGGAAGAGAGAGGGAGAAAACGGCTTTGGGGTCTGCTTTCTCTCCCTCCCCCCCCCCGCAGGGAATTCGAATGCTGGCAGATCTGAACTGGCCTCAGGGAAGCCATGGACGCCGAGAAAGGTAAACCCCCCCCCCCAGTTATCCCAGAGGAAGGGAGGGGGAGAGGGGGGGAGGGAGGGAAGGAAGGAAGGAAGGAAGGAAGGAAGGAAGGAAGGAAAAGAAAGAAAGAAAGAAAGAAAGAAAGAAAGAAAGAAAGAAAGAAAGAAAGAAAGATAGATAGATAGAAAGAAAGAGTGTGAAGGGATGGGAGGTAGGGAGAAGGTGTGAAGGAAAGAAGGAGGGATGAAGAAAGCAAGGAAAAAGAAAGGCTAGAAAGAAGGAAGGAGGGAAGAGAAAGAAAGAAAGAAAGAAAGAAAGAAAGAAAGAAAGAAAGAAAGAAAGAAAGAAAGAAAGAAAGAAATAGTGTGAAGGGATGGGAGGTAGGGAGAAGGTGTGGAAAGAAGGAGGGATGAAGAAAGGAAGGAAGGAGAAAGGCTAGAAAGAAGGAGGGAAGGAAGTAAGGAAGAAAAAGAAAGAAAGAAAGAAAGAAAGAAAGAAAGAAAGAAAGAAAGAAAGAAAGAAAGATTGTGAAGGGATGGGAGGTAGGGAGAAGGTGTGAAGGAAAGGAGGGATGAAGAACAAGGAAGAAGAAAGGCTAGAAAGAAGGAAGGAGGGAAGAGAAAGAAAGAAAGAAAGAAAGAAAGAAAGAAAGAAAGAAAGAAAGAAAGAAAGAAAGAAAGAAAGAAAGAGTGTGAAGGGATGGGAGGTAGGGAGAAGGTGTGGAAAGGAGGGATGAAGAAAGAAAGGAAGGAGAAAGGCTAGAAAGAAGGAGGGAAGGAAGTAAAGAAGAAAAAGAAGGAAAGAAAGAAAGAAAGAAAGAAAGAAAGAAAGAGTGTGAAGGGATGGGAGGTAGGGAGAAGGTGTGAAGGAAAGGAGGGATGAAGAACAAGGAAGAAGAAAAGCTAGAAAGACGAAGGAAGGAAGGAAGGAAGGAAGGGTGTGAAGGGATGGGAGGTAGGCAGAAGGTGTGGAAAGAAGGAGGAGTGAAGAAAGGAAGGAAGGAGAAATGCTAGAAATAAGGAGGGAAGGAAGGAAGGAAGGAAGAAAGAAAGAAAGAAAGAAAGAAAGAAAGAAAGAAAGAAAGAAAGAAAGAAAGAAATAGTGTGAAGGGATGGGAGGTAGGCAGAAGGTGTGGAAAGAAGGAGGAGTGAAGAAAGGAAGGAAGGAGAAATGCTAGAAATAAGGAGGGAAGGAAGGAAGGAAGGAAGGAAGGAAGGAAGAAAGAAAGAAAGAAAGAAAGAAAGAAAGAAAGAAAGAAAGAAAGAAAGAAAGAAATAGTGTGAAGGGATGGGAGGTAGGGAGAAGGTGTGGAAAGAAGGAGGGATGAAGAAAGGAAGGAAGGAGAAAGGCTAGAAAGAAGGAGGGAAGGAAGTAAGGAAGAAAAAGAAAGAAAGAAAGAAAGAAAGAAAGAAAGAAAGAAAGAAAGAAAGATTGTGAAGGGATGGGAGGTAGGGAGAAGGTGTGGAAAGGAGGGATGAAGAAAGAAAGGAAGGAGAAAGGCTAGAAAGACGAAGGAAGGAAGGAAGGAAGGAAGGAAGGGTGTGAAGGGATGGGAGGTAGGCAGAAGGTGTGGAAAGAAGGAGGAGTGAAGAAAGGAAGGAAGGAGAAATGCTAGAAATAAGGAGGGAAGGAAGGAAGGAAGGAAGGAAGGAAGGAAGGAAGGAAGGAAGAAAGAAAGAAAGAAAGAAAGAAAGAAAGAAAGAAAGAAAGAAAGAAATAGTGTGAAGGGATGGGAGGTAGGGAGAAGGTGTGAAGGAAAGAAGGAGGGGTGAAGAAAGGAAGAAAGGAGAAAGGCTAGAAAGAAGGAGGGAAGGAAGGAAGAAAAAGAAAGAAAGAAAGAAAGAAAGAAAGAAAGAAAGAAAGAAAGGTGGGAGGGAGGGAGGGAGGAAAGGAAGAAAGAAAAGGAAGGAAAAGAGGGAGGGAGAAGGGAAGGGAAAGAGAAAAAGAAAGAGGGGAAGGGAAGGAAAAGGGACAGAAGGAGAGAAGAAGACATGAAAGGAGGGAGGGGAAGGGACGAAAGAAAGGAGGGAGGGAGGGAGAAGGGAAGGCAAAGAGAAAAGGAAAGAGAGAGGAAGGGAAGGAAAGGAAAGGAGAGAAGGAGACATGAAGAGAGGGGGAGAGAGGGAGGGGTAGAAAGAAAGGAGGATTGGGAAGGAGGAAGGGAAGGAAGGAGATGGAGGGAGGGGGAGAAGGAAGGAAGGAAGGAAAGGAGGGAGGGAAAAGGGAAGGCAGAGAGAAAAAGAAAGACAGGAAGGAAAAGAAAGGGAAGGGAAAGATGGAAAGAGACATGAAGGGAGAGACAGAGGGGGAGGGGAAGAAAGAAAGGAGGGAGGGAAGGAAGGAAGGAAGGGAAGGAAGAAAGGAAGGAAGGAAGGAAGGGAAGGAAGGAAGGAAGGAAGGAAGGAAGGAAGGAAGGAAGGAAGGAAGGAAGGAAGGAAGGGTGGATGAAGGCTACACGGATGCCAGTCTTTCTCTAATGTTGTCTTCAGACGTCCCTCCTGGGCGGGTGTGAAATCTCTGGATTCCTTGGTGTAACTGTTGTCTTTCAAACTCCCAGGAGAGGAACTCCGGCTCATCCTGGTGGGGAAGACCGGAGGCGGGAAGAGCGCCACGGGCAACACCATCCTCGGCCGGAAGGAGTTCGAGTCCACCTTGGGGCCAAACGCCACCACCCTGAGGTGCCAAAGGGGGCAGGGAACCTGGCAGGGCAGGAAGGTCTCCGTGGTTGACACGCCCGGCCTTTTTGATTCGGCAAACTACAATGAGATTGTGCGACGTGAGATCGTGGCTTGCGTCGAACTCTCCCGGCCCGGCCCCCACGCCCTGATCTTGGTGACCCAGGTGGGGCGCTTCACCGCGGAAGATGCGGCTGCCGCAAACTGTGTCTGGGATATCTTTGGGGCCGAGTCCGCCAGGCACACCGTCGTCCTCTTCACCTGCCTGGAGGATTTGGGAGGGGGCCCCCTGCAGGAGTACGTCCAAAAGTCCGACAACCGGAACCTACGGGACCTGATCCGGCGGTGCGGGAACCACTACTGTGGCTTCAACAACAAGGCCACGGGAACCGAGCGGGATAGGCAGGTCTCGGAGCTGATGGCGACGGTGCAGAGCGTCGTTTCCGAGAACCGGGGGCGCTACTACGTCAACCGGCTGTACGGGGAGCCCAGCCTACGGGACGAGCACATCAGGATCTTCGTCGAGCAGAACCGAAAGCTGTGTAGAAGACTCATCAACCTCCTCCTTTCATTCCGGTTGGCCTGTTGTGGATGCAGAAATGACTATTCCATCTTGTGAAATGCATATTTGTCACAAAAAAGGTATTCGGCGCAGTGCTTCGCTGATTTTTCCCCGCACATGTTTGAAGTACGACTTCATTTTGCCGCAAAATCCAGAAACGGCGTGGTTCGTAATTCCCTTTTCTTTCTTCGAGAAATAAACAATGGCTAGACCTGCAGATCTGGTGTCGTCTCTGCTTCTCCTTCGCCTTTGACTGCTGAAATGGGCCTGGGGGGTTTCAGCTGGGGGGTCGTCCCTGCCCTTCCTGGGGTCCAGCGAGAGAAGCGGGTCCTTATCTTTAAAGAACCTCCTCCATCTTCTCAAGGGCACCAGGATCCTGCCCCACAGCACAGCCCCACGTCCTTGCCTTCGCCCCAGTCCAACCCAGTTTCACCAGTATCAAAGGGGTGTTTCCCCCATAAGCCGAGAGCATCCTGGGTGGGTGACGTCCGTTCTGTACACACGAGGGGAATTCAGCCTGTTTGTCATCCTTCCCGCTTAGTCCAATGAGCAAAAAAAGACTCCTGGTTCTTTCCCCCACCGAAAGTAAAGGGGTTACAGATGAGAGCAGGGGTCCCCAACCACCCAATCTGTGGACCGGTACCAGGCCGCGGCATGCCAGAAACCAGTCCGTGCAAACAGGCAGAATCCCATCCAAGGAGACGCAGGCAACACGTGAAACCACACTCCTGGTCCGCGGTAAAACCTCTCTCCACGAAACTGGCCCCCGGTGGCTAAAAGGTTGTCAGGAGGAGGGCGCTGGATCAGAGCAGGCAGACTCTGTTGGCTTGGCACCACGACGATGCAATGTACTTTCCCTTTTCCTCTGGCCAACCCCTCCCCCTCCCTGTGTTATCGGTCCACGTCCAATTAAAAGTTCTCAGGCTGTTTTGGAAAGGGACCCTGCAGTTGTGTCGATCCGCTCTGCCGTCCGTCGCTGGAGGTGGGAGGAAATCCATACCTGCAGGTGTATGTCATGGGAAATTGGGAGGGGGGAATGACAACTGGACACCAATGGACTGGTCAAGGGCAGGGGGTGGGGGGCGGAGCAGGGAAAGAGGGAAAAAGGTAAACTTTGCACGGGAATACTTTGTGTGGGAATACTTTGCTTACAGTGTAACTGCTGGACTTTAGGAAGAGAAGCTTTCGCTTCAAGGAATGGAGTCAAGGGTGTTTCTTTCCGAAAGGTCTAAGTTGGGGTGAGCCTGACACAGTTTGAGCTCGGCATATATTCTCTCACGGGTTTCCATTACTTAAGCCAGGGGTACCCAACCTTCCTGGGTTGGCGGCCCAGTGGGAGAGGGAGGGGCAGGCTCCTTATGCACGGGTGCGCAAACATGAATATGGCTACACGTGCACGTACGAGCACACACACACAGGCCGCAAGCGTGCGCGCCATGCCATTCTCAGCAACGCCAGTGTCTGTGTGAGGCTTGTGACACCGACGACGCCAGGCTCGCGACGATATGACTACCGGCGCGAGGATCGTACCGGCGCCAACCCGGGGCGAGGCTCACGCCACAGCCTGCATGATAGTAGCAAGGTGGACCGAGAGGGGGTGAGCACGCACACTCGGGTGCGTGCGCTGCCCAGCTACTCATGGGGCCTGGTGGCCAAAAGGCCGCAGCCCAGTAATGGGCTGCAGCCCACAGGTTGGGGACCACTGTTCTAGTCCAACCCTCAACTTGAGCAGGAGAATGACAGAGTTGGAAGGGATTTTGGAGGTCATCTAGCCCAGCCCTCTGTTCAAGCAGGAGACCCTTACAGAATCACAGGGTTTGAAAGGACCTTGGAGGTCTTCTAGTCCAGCCCGCTGCTTGAGCAGGAGAACTTATACCATCTCAGACAAGTGATGGTCCAGTCTCCTGTGAAAAATCTCCAGTGATGGAGCATCCACGATTTCTAGTGGCAAGCTGTTCCACCGGTTAATTGTCCTCACTGTCAGGAAGTTTCTCCTTCATTCCAGGTTGCTTCTCTCTTTGCTCAGTTTCCAACTGTTGTTTCTCATCCTGCCCACTGGGGCTTTGGAGAATAATTTGGCCCCCTCCTCTTCTTTAGGGCAGCCCCCCAGATACTGAAATGCTGCTGTCATGTCTCCCCTATTTCTTCTTTCCTTTAGACTAGCCAAATCCAAGTCCTGCAGCCGTTTTTTGTATGTTTGAGTCTCCGGTTCTTGGATCCTCTTAGTAACTGGGAGATGAACCTCGGAGTCCTAGTGGGCGATCCCCGGACCCGGAGCCAATCGTGTGCAGCAGCAGCCCTCCAAAAAAGCTCACACAATCCTGGGTTGTGTAAACAGAGGCCTAGAATCAAGATTCGTCCCGCTTTATAAAAACCCTAGCGGGGCCACACCTGGAACACCGCAGCCAATTTTGGTTCCCATATCCCCAAAAACAGGTGGAGAGTTTGGGAAAAAAAATCAGAGAAGAGAAGCTAAGAGGATCCGAGGCTCGGAGACTAAAACATATGAAGAACGGCTGCAGGACTTGGGGTTTGGCTGGTCTAAAGAAAAGAAGAAATAGGGGAGAGATGATAGCAATTGTTCCTTGCCTACGAAAGTGGCCGTGTGGGGGCTTTTTTTGCTGGGGGTGGGATGAGTCGGGAAGATGGTTGAGGTCGGTCCACTCAGCCTAACCATCTCTATGTCTTGATGGGCTCAAAAGGCCGAGGGGAAGGGGGACGTTGCCCAATCGTCCTGTCGGAGGGAGACATGGAATGAGTTGACGATACTCAAGGGGTGGGTCAGAATGTGGGGTCTCCCCCAAAGCTGCCTACAAGGTCCAATGAAACCCAGGGGCCCCAGGAATCGGACATTCCCTTCTAGGGGCCACCTCACAGCTCTCTCTTTTGGGCTGCCCAACCCAAGTGGGCCCTGAATCCCCTCTCCAGGTGTGTGTACCAAGGTGTGCATGTGGGAGGGGGCTGAGCCAGCTCATAACAGACCCCACCATCACCTAGTCAGAACTGCAACATCACCCAGCGATAGATAGATCCTGTAAGGACTCAGCTCAGCTAAAACCCCCCCCCCAAGACAGCAAAACTCGTGAAACAGGCGTCGTCTCGAAAGGAAATTTTTAGTAGAGGAAGTCAAGGCGAGATCTGGAGGGACGTCCCACGTAAATGGTATTTTATTTATTTATTTGTTTGTTTGTTTGTTTATTTGTTAAAATTTATAGACCGCCCCACTCCCGCAGGATTCCGGGAGGTTTACAATAAAAACACAGCATAACTTGACAAACAAACAATACAAGAACATTCATCCAGGGGTCAGATTTTATAAACCCCAGGCCTGCCAGAAAAGCCAGGTCTTAAGCAGCTTGCGGAAAACCAACAGGGTGGGAGTGGTCCTAATCTCCGGGGGGAGCTGATTCCGTGGGCACCATCACAGAGAAAGCCCTCCCCCACGGCCCCGCCAAATGGCACTGCTTGGCCGACGGGGCCCGAAGGAGGCCCAGCCTGTGGGATCTAACCGGACGAAGGGAACTATGAGGTAGTAGGCGGTCTCGCAAATAGCCTGGCCCTGAGCCATATAGGGCTTTAAAAGTAATAACCAACACCTTGAATTGGACCCGGAGACCAATAGGCAACCAGTGCAGCTCGCGGAGGATAGATGTAACATGGGTGTACCGAGGAGCACCCACTATCACTCGCGCGGCTGCATTCTGGAGCAACTGTAGTCTCCGAATACTTTTCAAGGGTAGCCCCATGTAGAATGCGTTGCAGTAGTCCAGGCGTGAGGTGACAAGGGCATGAGTGACTGTAAGGAGAGCCTCCCGGTCCAGGTAGGGTCGCAACTGGTGCAACAGATGAGCTTGTGCAAAGGTCGTCCCAGCCACAACCGTCAAATGATGTTCCAATTTCAGCTGTGGATCAAGGAGGACACCCAAGTTGCGAACCAATAGTTAAACTAGCAACCTTTCTTCTCCCACCAAATTCATAATGTCCATTTGTCATCCGACCCATCCGCAGGTGGCAATGACGTGCGGGTAACGGGCACGGTTGGCATGCTTCTCAGGATCTTCTCCAGGGTCGTTTCTCTGCAACGTTCCTTTCTCCGGTGGAGAGAGGCGGGAGAGGAAAAGCAGAAAGCGAAAGTTATCCCAAGCGAAAGAAAATTGCCCCCTGCCCCCAGCAGAATGGCCAGCCTCAAAAAAAAAGCACATAAGAATGGAAAACGATAAGGATTTGCAGCCGCCTCGAAGAGTGAGAAATCCACCTAGAAAACAGAAAAAAAGGGAGGGGAAAAAAGAATACAAACGTATCGCTTAGATTTATCAGGATATTGAGAATGGAAGCGTTGTAAAAGTTTAGGGGTTCTAACGTATTTCTTGTACACCCACTCATTCTGGGCGGAAGGGAGATTTTTCCAAGCTACTAAGTACTGTGTCACCCCATGGGGTGTTCGAGAGTCCAAAAGGTCTTTGATTTCAAAGTGTTGTTTACCCTCAACCATGATAGGCGTGGGCACCGGAGGTGCAGGAGGCCTGAGGTTAGAAGTAATCTCTGGTTTGAGTAAACTGCAGTGGAAAACAGGGTGGACTTCCCGTAGGTTCTTTGACAAGTCTAATTCAACTGTTACAAGATTGATGATGTGTTTGACCGGCAAAGGGTTGTAAAGACTGCAAATACTTCATGGAGAGGTATACCAAGACTCCAACTTTATATGGTTTTTGCTCCACCCTCCGTTTATCGGCTTGTGTCTTATAGGTTTCTCTGGCTTCATCCAGAGCAGGGGTTCTCAACCTTTTTAATGCCGCGACCCCCCAACCGGTCGTAAGTCGAGGACTACTCAACCGGTCGTAAGTCGAGGACTACTCAACTGGTGCAGCCCCGTTTGCAGAATGAGACTTTTGGCGAGCTTAGCAGGGCAGAGACAGCATGGACAATTCCGATTGGCTTTGGAAAGCCAATAGAATTAGACTCTATTCAAGAGAGTCTATTCTATTGGCTTATAAAAGCCAATAGAATAAAAGGGAGTAGCACAGCTAAGGAAAAGGGGGGGAAATGGCGGATTGCATTGTTTGGCGACCCCTGTGAAATGATCGTTTGACCCCAAATGGGGTCCTGACCCACAGGTTGAGAACCACTGATCAGAGTTTTCCTGACCACTGGCCAGCTATTTTGTAACTGGTTAATCCACTCTTGCAAGGAGGGTATTTCAGGCTCCTTGGTAGGGAGTTCAGGCATAGCCACAAATGTTTGACCATTAGCTACTTGAAATCGAGTGAAACCTGTACTGGGATGCACAGAATTATTACAAGCTACCTCAGCAAACGGTAACAGATTGGACCAATTGTCCTGCTAATAATTAATAAAACATCTCAGGTACTGTTTTAGAACTGAGTTCAGTCTCTCTGCCCCCCATTCGTTTGACGATGATGTGAAGCTGATAGCCCTTGACTAGAAACCTTCAGGTCCAGAAAAGCTTTCTGGAACTTAGAGGTGAATTGAACCCCTCTGTCTGAAATGATACGTTGTGGGGCCCATGAAAGCAATATATGTTTTGCCCAAAGAGTTTAGCTAAAGTCTTTGCAGTCGGGATCTTGGGGCATGGAATGAAATGAACGTGTCCAGAGAACAAATCCGTTACGACCCAAATTAGTGTTTCCAGCACTTTCAGGCAGTTCCACAATAAAATCCATAGAGATCTTTCTCCAGGATGCTGACAGATTTGCTACCGGTTGGGGATTTTCCTTGCTGCCGTTTAGCCGCCGCGCATGTGGGGCAGCTGGCTACTTAAGCTTTTTATGTTCTTTTTCAATGCAGGCCCCCCAAAACTGCCTTTTAATGAGATGTAAAATGCTTCCCCCTCGCTTTTCTTCCGATCCCGCCAAACAAGGAAGATGGGCGACTTCCGCTTTACAGATTCTCGCCTTACGTAAGGACCCACCTCAGCTAACCACCCAAGGAAGCAGCGCTCTTTAAACAGGCCTCGTCACAAAAGGATACTTTTTATTAGGGGGTTAGTGACAGCAGGGAAGTCAAGGCGAGATCTGGGGAAAATCCCGTTCAAATCGGCACGGTCAAACCAGCAATCTTGCTCCGCCCACCAAAGTCGCAATGTCCGTTTGAAATCCAGCCAATCTCCGGGTGGCCACGATGTTGCGGGTAACTGGCACGAGTTGGCGCGCGCCTCGAGGTGTCCTCCAGCTTTCGTTTCTCCCGCAACCGTCTCCCTGATAAGGGAGGTGCCTTCTTCTCTCAAGCGGAGAGACGCGGGGGAGGGAAAGTAGAAAGCGAAAGTTATCATAAGCGAAAGCAGATTCCCCCCCCCTCCCAGCAGGCTAGCAGGCCCCCAAACGGGAACACATACGCAGAGAAAAGCATAATCTGACAAAAACTTTGTGTCTGAGTTTGGCGTGGGGGGGGGGAAACCGGCTCGAATTGCTGGTTGTCATCCCAAAGGACGGGGACTCGCGGAGGTTCGAATCTCACCCCTCCGTCGACATTGGAAAAGGCACAATTAATGCATTACCACGAATCACGAGAGAACTGGAGAGGGGTGATTGAAAAAAGCCGAGAAAGAAATTAGCCCCCCCCCCCAGACGTTATATCTCAGTGTTTACTGATGGCTCTTCTTCTTGGGAAAACCAGGGATTTTGGAAGAAAGTTTTGGTTTTTCTGATGGGATACAATAGGGCCGCCCTCCGTTCTCCTCGACCATCTTCTGGATCTTTTTCATCAGCTCTGTGACCTGGTCGTCCCGCTCGGTTCCTTCGGCCCCGTTGTTAAACCCACAAAAGCGATCGCCGCACTTCTTAATCAGCTTATGCAGTTTCGGGTTGTCGGATTTTTTGACGTACTCCTGCAGGGAGTCCCCACCCAGGTCCTCCTTGCAGGTGAAGAGGACGACCGTGTGACGGACGGACGTTTCCCCAAAGATCTTCTGGACTCGCTTTGCGGCGGCCTTGTCTTCCTTGGTGAAGCGCCCCACCTGGGTCACCAAAACGAAGGCGTGGAGGCCCGACTGGCACATCCGGCGGCATTTTTTCATCTCCTCCTTCAGGGACGGATCCATCTTTTCGGAATCGAAAAAGGCCGGCGTGTCGATCACGGAGATCTTCTTGTTGTCCCAGGTTCCCTGCCCCCTTTGGCACTTCTGGGTGGTGGTCTTCGCTGCCAGGACGGACACGAACTCCCTCTGGCCGAGGATGGTGTTGCCCGTGGCGCTTTTCCCGCCTCCGGACTTCCCGACCAGGATCAGCCGGAGTTCCTCCCCTGGGAGTTTGAAAGAGGGAGAGTCTTAGGGCAGTTACACGGCTGGAATTCAGTGAATATATGGGGGGGAGAGAGAGAGAGAGAGATGGATAGATGGATGGATTATATATATATATATATATATATATATATATATATATATATATATATATATAGAGAGAGAGAGAGAGAGAGAGAGAGAGAGAGAGAGATAATAGATAGATAGATAGATAGATAGATAGATAGATAGATAGATACAGATAGACAGACAGACAGACAGACAGACAGACAGAGATATATATAGAGAGATGTGAACAGAGATGGAGAGAGAGAGAGACAGACAAAGAATTAGATACTCAACAGATATGGATAGATAGCGATAGATAGATAGATAGATAGATAGATAGATAGATAGATAGATAGATATGGATAGATAGGTAGATAGATCGATGAATGGATCAATGGATGGATGGATGGATGATACATAGATAGATAGATATGGATAGATAGATCGATGGATGGATGATATAGATATAGAGAAATAGATAGATAGATAGATAGATAGATAGATAGATAGATAGATAGACAGACAGACAGATATATAGATGTGAATAGAGACAGAGGGAGAGAGAGACAAAGAATTAGATACTCAACAGAGATGGATGGATAGATAGATAGATAATAGATAGATGGATGGATGATAGATAGATAGATAGATAGATATAGAGAAATAGATAGATAGACGACAGACAGACAAACAGACAGACATATAGATGTGAATAGAGATAGAGGGAGAAAGAAAGAATTATATACTCAACAGAGATGGATAGATAGATAGATAGATAGATAGATAGATAGATAGATAGATAGATAGATAATAGATAGATACATAGATACACAGATATAGATAGATGATAGATAGACAGACAGACAGACAGACAGACAGATATATAGATGTGAATAGAGATAGAGGGAAAGAGAGACAAAGAATTAGATACTCAGCAGAGATGGATAGATAGATAGACAGACAGACAGAGAGATAGATAGGAGGTTGGGCTAGATGACCTCCGAGGCCCCTTCCATTACTCCATGCTTCGGCACACACAGAGAGCCAAGCCCTTCCCCTGGGGAAGAACTGGCAAGCAACGAAGCCGAATCTTGGTGGGACCCTCACCTTCTTCCTTCGCTTCGGCTCCGTGGTCCCCCGTGGAGCCCTGAAAAAGAACGAATCGGCCGTTCAGACAGCGGACGGTGGACTCCCTGGGCAGAGCAAGAAGAAGAGGCGGGGCTGGCGCTTGTCTGGAATGGCCCAGGGTCTCCTGCTTGGGCAGGGGGTTGGACTAGATGACCTCCGAGGTCCCTTCCAGCTCTGTCATTCTGTGACTCTGTAAGGGTCTCCTGCTCGAGCAGGGGGTTGGGCTAGATGAGGGAGGGAGGGAGGGAGGGAGGGAAGGAAGGAAGGAAGGAAGGAAGGAAGGAAGGAAGGAAGGAAGGAAGGAAGGAAGGAAGGAGTTGAATGCGGAAGGAAGGAGATGGATGGGGAAGGAGCAAGGAGGGAAGGAAGGAAGGAGGGAGGGAGGGAGGGAGGAGGGAAGGAAGGAAGGAAGGAAAGAAGGAAGGAAGGAAGGAAGGAAGGAAGGAAGGAAGGAAGGAAGGAGTTGAACGGGGAAGGAAGGAGATGGATGGGGAGGGAGCGAGGAGGGAAGGAAGGAAGGAAGGAAGGAAGGAAGGAAGGAAGGAAGGAAGGAAGGAAGGAAGGAAGGAATGAAAAGGAAGGAAGGGAAGGAAGGAAGGAAGGAAGGAAGGAAGGAAGGAGGAAGGAAGGAAGGAGGATTGGAAGGAAGGAAGGAAGGATGGGAGGGAGCGCGAGGAGGGAGGAAGGAAGGAAGGAAGGAAGGAAGGAAGGAAGGAGGAAGGAGAGGATGGGGAGGGAGCGAGGAGGGAGGACGGAAGGAAGGAAAGGAAGGAGTTGACGGGGAAGAAGGAGATGGATGGGGAGGGAGCGAGGAGGGAAGGAAGGAAGGAAGGAAGGAAGGAAGGAAGGAAGGAAGGGAAGGAAGGAGTGAATGGGGAAGGAGATGGGGGAGGAGCGGGAGGGAAGGAAGGAGGAGGAAGGAAGGAAGGAAGGAAGGAAGGAAGGAAGGATTGGATGGGGAGGGAGCGAGGAGGGAAGGAAGGAAGGAAGGAGATGGATGGGGAGGGAGCGAGGAGGGAAGGAAGGAAGGAAGGAGATGGATGGGGAGGGAGCGAGGAGGGAAGGAAGGAAGGAAGGAAGGAAGGAAGGAAGGAGTTGAACGGGGAAGGAAGGAGATGGATGGGGAGGGAGCGAGGAGAAAGGAAGGAAGGAAGGAAGGAAGGAAGGAAGGAAGGAAGGAAGGAAGGAAGGAAGGAAGGAAGGAGTTGAATGGGGAAGAAAGGAGATGGATGGGGAGGGAGCGAGGAGAAAGGAAGGAAGGAAGGAAGGAAGGAAGGAAAGAAGGAAGGAAAGAAGGAAGGAAGGAAGGAGTTGAATGGGGAAGAAAGGAGATGGATGGGGAGGGAGCGAGGAAGGAAGGAAGGAAGGAAGGAAGGAAGGAAGGAAGGAAAGAAGGAAGGAAGGAGTTGAATGGGGAAGGAAGGAGAGAGGAAGAAAGGGAGGGGAAAGAAGAGAAGGAGAGAGGGAGGAGGGACGGAGTGAGGGGGAAAAGAGGGAGGGGGAGAGGAAGAAAAGTAGGTAGAAGGAAGGAAGGAAGGAAGGAAGGGGAGGGAGGACAGATGGAAGGAAAGAAGAAGAGCGAGGGAGGGGAGGGAGGGAGGAAAGACAAATGAAGGAAAGAAGGAGGAAGAGAGGGAGGGAGGAAGGAAATACAGAGGAACAAAGGGACGAAGAGAAAGAGGGAGGCAGGAAAGACAGGGAAGGAAGGAAGGAAGGAGACTGTTCGAGGGAACAGTCTGATCAATTGGCCACGGGTTTTCCTTCCTCGGCGTCCGGCCTTCCCAACCTGCTCCCTCCTTTCCTTTACGGGAGAGGCTTCCAAGTCCCCCCCCCGCGCGCCCGCCCCCCCCCCAACGCAAAGCCAGGCGCGCCCTCCGGACCAGGGGTCTTTTTTGGGCGGGAGGGGGGGAGGCGTCTCTCTGCGCCTACCTGGCCGCGGGCTGCTGCTTTTCTCTTCGGCGAGGCCATCCAGACGCTCCCCGGGATCCCCTCCCCTTCAGCTCCTCCGGCTGCGAAAGACCAAACGCCAGCCCGGGCGAACCCGCCGGATCTCTCGGGATCCCTTCCGAAGGAGTCGCCCCGCCGGAGGAGGGGGGGAGGAGGAGGAGGAGGAGGAGGGAGAAGGCGCGCCCTCTGGCGGGCAGAGCGGGCAGAGCGGGCAGAGCGACCTAGTGGTGGGAGCGGAGGCTGAAATGTGGCCTTTCCGTAGCACCTTTCCCCCCCCCCCCGTCCAATACATTCGAGAGGGAAAGCGGGAGTGAGATAGATGGAAAGGAGGGAAGGAGAGAGAGAGGGAGGGAGGGAGGGAGGGAGGAAGGAGGAAGGAAGGAAGGAAGGAAGGAAGAAAGAGGGAGGAGAGGAGAGGGAAGGAAAAAAGGAGAAGAGGTAGGAGGAAAGAAGGAAAAGGGAGGGAGGAAGGGAGGGTGGGAGGGAGAGAAAGAAAGAGAGGGAGGGAGGAGAGGAAAGGAAGGAAGGGAAGGGACGAAAGAAAAGCGGGAGGAGGAAGGAAGGAAAAGAGGGAGGGAGGGGGAGAGAGAGAAAGAAAGGAGGGAGGAGAGGAGAGGAGAGGGAAGGAAAGGAAGGAAAAGTGGGAGGGAGGGGGAGAGAGAGAGAGAGAGAGAGAAAGAAAGAAAGAAAGAAAGAAAGAAAGAAAGAAAGAGGGAAGGAGGGAGGGAGGAGAGGAGAGGAAAGGAAAAGAAGGAAAAGAGGGAGGGAGGGGGAGAGAGAGAGAGAGAGAGAAAGAGGGAAGGAGGGGGGGAGGAGAGAGGAAAGGAACTAAAAGAGGGAGGGAGGGAGGGAGGGAGGGAGAAAGAAAGAAAGAAAGAAAGAAAGAAAGAAAGAAAGAAAGAAAGAGGAAGGGAGGGAGGAGAAGGAAAGAGAAAGAAAAAAGAAAGGAGGTAGAGGAAAGGAAAGAAGAAAAGAAAGGAAAACAGGGTGGAGAGAGGATGGGAGGGAGGGAGAGAGGGGGAGAGGAAAGAGAGAGAAGGAAGGAAAAGAAGGAGGGTGGAGGGAGGGAGAGAAAGAAAGAAAGAAAGAAAGAAAGAAAGAAAGAAAGAAAGAAAGAAAGAAAGAAAGAAAGAAAGAAAGAAAGAAAGAAAGAAAGAAAGAAAGAAAGAAAGGAGGGAAGGAGGGAGGGAGGAAAGAGGAAAGGAGAGGAGAGGAAGGAAAGAAAGGGAAAGAGGGAGGACGAAGGAAGGAAGGGAAAAAAAGGCAGAGGGAAGCGAAGGAGGAGGAGAGGAGAGGAAGGGGCTCCTTCTGCCAGCCCCCTCCCCTAATACAGATCCCGTCTCCCCACCTTTCGCGCTGCGGACCCCTCCAAAGCCTCGGAGGCGGAGTTGGGGGACGGGGATCCCCCACCCCGCTGCTGGGACCGCCCCCCTTCCCCCTCCCCTCCCCTGCGACCCCCCCCTCCGCCCCGGTTTACCTTCCCGGGCTGGGAATCGGCGCAACTTCGCGGGTGGGGGAGAAAGTCTGCAGGCGGAAAGCGAAAGTGCGGCGCGGCCGAGAGGGAAAGTGGTTTGGCGGGGGCGGGGCGGGAGCCGGCGCGCTTTCCCGTGCGCGGGACGCCCTCTGGGGGTCGCGGGCAGGAATGGCGGCTGGGAAAAGGGGGCCGTCGAGGCGGAGGAGAGGGGGGGTGAAGGCGCCCCTTGGAGACCCCCGCGCTGGAACCGACGCCGCCCCCCCCCCAACCTCCTCCTCCCACGAAGCCTCGGCTGCCTTCTCCGGTTCCCCCCCCCCTTTCCAGCTCTTTGGATTCTGTAAACGGTCTCCTTGCTCGAGCAGGGGGTTGGACTAGATGACCTCTGAGGTCCCTTCCGAACTCCGTTCTTCTTTAAGGGTCTCCTGTTTGAGCAAGGGGGTGGACTACACGACCTCCAGGGTCCCCACCCGACTCTGTGATTCTGTGAAAGGTCTCCCGCCCAAGCAGAGGGTTGGACTAGATGACCTCTGAGGTCCCTTCAAGTCCGTTCTTCTGTAAGGGACGCCTGTTTCAGAAGGGGGGGGTGGACTACATGACTTCCAGGGTCCCCCCCTCGACGCTGTGATTCTGTGAAGGGTCTCCTTTTCAAGCAGGGGTTGGACTAGATGACCTCCAGGGTCCCCACTGACTGTTACTGATTCTGTTAAGGGTCTCCTGCTCAAGCAGGGGGTTGGACTAGATGACCTCTGAAGTCTCTTCCAACTCCGTTCTTCTGCAAGGGTCTCCTGTTTGAGCAGGGGGGTGGTCTACATGACCTCCAGGGGCCCCCCCGACGCTGTGATTCTGTGAAGGGTCTCCTTTTCAAGCAGGGGTTGGACTAGATGACCTCCAGGGTCCCCACTGACTTATTGTGATTGTTAAGGGTCTCCTGCTCAAGCAGGGGGTTGGACTAGATGACCTCTGAGGTCCCTTCCAACTCCGTTCTGTAAGGGTCTCCTGTTTCAGCAGGGGGGTGGACTACATGACTTTCAGGGACCCCCCCCCCCGACGCTGTGATTCTGTGAAGGGTCTCCTTTTCAAGCAGGGGTTGGACTAGATGACCTCCAGGGTCCCCACTGACTGTTATTGTCATTGTTAAGGGTCTCCTGCTCAAGCAGGGGGTTGGACTAGATGACCTCTGAGGTCCCTTCCAACTCCGTTCTCCCGTAAAGGTCTCCTGCTTGACCAGGGGGATTGGACTAGACGACCTCCAGGGTCCCCTCTGACTGTTATTCTGTGATTTTGTTAAGGGTCTCCTGCTTGAGCAGGGGGCTGGACTAGATGACCTCCAAGTTCCCTTCCGACTGTTCTGTTATTCTGTTAAGGGCCTACTTGAGCAGGGGGTTGTACTAGATGACCTCCAGGGTCTCCACTGACTGTTATTCTGTGATTCTGTTAAGGGTCTCTTGTTCGAGCAGGGGGTTGGACTAGAAGACCTCCCAAGGTCCCTCCGACGCTCTTATTCTGTGATTCTGTTAAGGGTCTCCTGCTCGCGCAGGGGGTTGGACTAGATGACCTCCAGGGTCCCCTCCAACTCTTATTCTGATTCTGTAAGTCACCTGCTCACCTCCAAAGTCCCCTCCGACTGTGTTATCTGCTCTTTGGGCCACGTGGCCTCCTGCTGGGCGGAGCGGCAACTGCGCAATGCACCACGTGGCATCCGGCCACAGGTGGCAGCACGCGGCCGCAAAAGAAGTCAAGCAGCAGCGCGACAGGTGTCCAGGCGTGGGAGGCCCGGGCTGCGTGGCCCTAAGGTAAGAAAATTAAGACCGAGTGCCTCTTTTGGAGGCAAAAAAAAAAAAAAAAAACCACAGTAGAAACACGGGGAACACGGTAGTCACACGGTAGTGAAGAGAACCTGTCTTCCCTACTGACTTTCTCCGCCAGGGACATGCAACCGTCATGAATGCGAGTCAGTTGCCATGCCTCCGAATTTTGATCACGTGAGCACGAGGGTCATGCACCGGGGTCGTGCATTCCCGTGGTCACGTGATCCAAATTCAGCTGTTTGGCAACTGACTCAGATTTATGACGCTCACAGCGATCCCTTTTGCGACTTCCTCACGAGCAAAATCACTGGGGAAGCCAGCCCCACTTAGCAACGGTGTCACTAACTGAACACCTGCATTGGTTCGATTAATGTTCCTTACGGGCCGTGGGACAGTGGGACTGCTGTGGATGGCCACGATACCACTGACTCGCCGTCAACCCCTTGCTGACACTGTCCTGTCCCGGCTGCCACAAACTGGACAGGGACGGTCGGAGCATCGGAAGTAGGCCATCAAATGCCCCGATCTACCCATAATAAGACCTTTCTTGCTATCATCGTTAAGTGAGTCAGACTTCCCCGTTGACTTTGCTCGTTGGGATGTTGCAAAAGGGGATCGCTCGAACCTGGGAAAAGAGAGTGAACGAGAAATCAATGGCGCCGCATTGCTCGGAGAGGGAGCTTTTGGAGGCAGCCATCATTCAACTCGGCTAAATCATGGCTGAGCGACGCCGGCGGTGACCGAGAGAATCCACCCAAAAACACCAGCGAGCACCAAAGGGAAGGCAAACATTTTATTCAACAAAGAAAGAGGCTGAAGCCGGTAAGGGGAAGAATTAAGGTGCATTGTCACCCAAGCACAACCATTTCCAGCCGGCGCCCGATGGGGGACCCCGATATCCCCCAGCGGGCTAGAACCCTCCCTGACACGTTTACTGCCTCCTTGGAAAGAAGGGTGCGGCTGAATTGCGCCGGAGTGTGTTGTAGGTGCGTCAGGAGGCTGTGCGAAGGTTTTCAGCAGGGGCTGCCCCGGGGAGGAGGGGGGAAGCTGGCAAGGCCTCAGTAGAGTTGAACAGGAAAACGGAACCCCCCCCCCAAAAGAAATCCAAGAGATTTTCCTTTCCGACACTTAACGCTCCGTTCCCGTAGAAGAGAACGGATACAATTCAGGACTGAGCTGCGAGTCACGCTACTCTCTGAGCACGTACGGAAGGATGTCCAAATGTCAAACTGGTCCCAGTGACCACCTGTAGCATCATCTACAGGGAGGGGCTCTCTTTGTTTGGGGGCAGGGGACTACTCCCCAGCTGAGACTCGGCACCCCCACAGATGTGACGTGGAGGAAACGCTGCTCTCTAGATGCGGTCCGGAGGCACGTCGCGCGCCCGTACCAGTCATCACTATCAAAGATTAGCCGCAGAACTTTGCATATCCCCCCAATTCCTATAGGTTGGCAGGTCGAGGACGGGGGCTCCCCCAAATGAGAGGCGGGCAATCCTAGCGGTTTGGCCCCTCCACCAACCGCCTTAAGACAACGGCCGCCCTCCCGAAGTGTTTTTTTTTTAATTTCTTTTATTCCATTTCTACGGTCAACCAACCGTAGACTGACGGGTCACCAGAGAGAAAAGAGAGATCGCCACTCTCTCGGTGCAGAACTTGAGGGGGTTTCCTGGGCAATCCGGGGAGGAGGGCGAGAGAGGGGAGTGGATTCTGGGGTGCCACCATCTACACCAAGGGTGACGCATTTTACGGCCCTCGCGTAGCCTCTCTGTAGCCCAGGTCGCACAGCCAGGATTCGGCAGCAAAGTGGCTTGAATGCTGGGTTTGGTGGGTGCGCGTCCCGGTGGCGACCCAGCGGGAGGGGGACCCCAGAGGTTGCTTGCTCCTAACCCTGCCACTGGAACGACTCCCAAGAGCCCCCCCCCCCCAAAAAAAATCTCAGGTGGATGACCTCAAAGTCTTAACACCCGGTCTCAAAACGTTGACTCTGGAGGAATCAATGGGGCATCCGTATTTCTTGACCGTTTGCTGCTAAATTCTGCCCCACAGAAGGTGTGGGTGGTTGGGTGTGCACGAGAGACACACACACACACAGAGAAAGACAGAAAGAAAAAAAAGGAAGGGAGGGAGGATTCTGTACAAATTCCTTGTGTGTCCAATTACACTTGGGAAAGAAAGAAAGAAAGAAAGAAAGAAAGAAAGAAAGAAAGAAAGAAAGAAAGAAAGAAAGAAAGAAAGAAAGAAAGAAAGAAAGAAAGAAAGAAAGAAAGACCAAAAAAAGACAGAAGGGAGAAAGAAAGTGGAAAAAGAGAAGAGGGAGGGAAGAAAAATAGAGAAAGAAAAAAGAAAGTAAAAAACAGAAGGGAGAAAGGAGAAAAAGAGGGAAGGAAGGAAACAAGAAAAAAAGGAAGAGAAAACAAAGGAAGGAAAAAGGGACCAAGGGGGGAGAGAAAACGAAGCAGAAAGAAAAAAGAGAAAGAGAGGGGAAGAAGGAAAGAGGAGAAAAGAGAGGGAAGAAAGAGAACAAAAGAGGGACAGAGGGAAGGGAGAGAAAACGAGAGGAGAAAGAAACAAAAAAAAAAGAGGGACGGAGGGAAAAGCGAAAGGAAAAAAAGGAGGGAAGGAGGAAAGGAACGAAAGAGGGAAAAGGAAGAGAGAGAAGAGCACAGCCCAGCCCGTCCGGCATCCCGCACTTGCAGACACCCCCCCCCTTTCCAATCCCTCCGCTGGGAGACCTTCATATATCGCATCTCTGCATCCCGGACAGACCCCCCCTCCTTCCCGTGACCTTACCAGGATCTCCCACTCCTGGGGGTCCCCGGGCACTCAACAACCCCCCACTTTGGGTGCCAGGATGGGACACTCCTTGCCACATCAGCTTCGTCCAAGCTTGGATAGCAAAAGCAGCAGGGACTGGTGTGTGTGTGTGTGTGTGTGTGTGTGTGTGTGGTGTGTGTATGGGATACTGGTCCCTTGGGTCAGAAAACTGAGACGCGGCGACTCAGTCTTGTGGTTTAACAGGTCCAGCTCAACCGAAGGAATGTTCCAAAGCCTCTGAAACGGGCCGAACGTGGTTTAACTATCAACCGTAAACGAACGGAACGACAAAGCTGGCGAACGACAAAGCTAGCTGATGGCCCGGCTGGACAGCGAAGGGAAGCAGAGCAGGGAGTTCCACGGGTAAACCTTGCAGGGGAAGTAGAGAGGGGGGGGTTGTCTCTGGGAACACAGCCCCTCCAACTTGGGGCTTTCCCCTCCCTCACGTCTTCCCGGTCTTCCCGAGCCGCTGATCTTCCAAGAGATACCTCTTGGCCGGATCCAAGTCGGGGATGGTACTGCCGCTCGGAGTATGGAACATTCAGGAACTTTCTAGCAGGTGCCTCGGTTCCTCAGTGGAGTCTCGTATAATTGAGCGGCTCAAAGATGCCAGATTATCTCCACGACGCCGTCGGGCCCATCACGATCCCCTTTGCTCGTGCCGCACGCTTCGGGTTCAAATCCACAGGGGAACGGCTTCCAACGAGAGACGCGATCCTCTTTTGTTCATGCCGCACGCCTCGGGTTCAAATCCACAGGGAACGGCTTCCGAGGCGGCTCGCCGTTGCAAACTCGGAACCGGCTGATCCGACGGCTACCCTGATCCTCCTTCCCCCTCTTTGTCTTTGGCAAAGCTAGGACCCTGCTCCCCCCCCCCGCCAGGCCTGCGGCGCGATTCTGCTACGGTGGGCGCTCCGCGGACTTGGGAGACAGGAGCCGGTGTTCCATCGCAACGGGACAAAAACGGAATGCAAAATGTAGAGGGGGGGAAACGGGTGGGACTCGATCCAGGATCTGGCAGGAGGTACAAAAATGCCGAAATATGATAAGCACCCTGTGTCGTCTAGTTTTATGTCAGTTCGAGGTCCTGGTACGTGGAACGGGACTTGGCGGAGAACGTAAAAAAAAAAAAAAGGTCTTTTCTACACTGTTCCTCGGAGGGCCGATTCCGAGATGGGGAGGGGGCTGTCCCTTCTCCTTGCTCTTGGTCCCTCCTCAAGGCCGCTGCCCACCACCACCACTCCGAACGCTCAGGCCCAGCAGGACACCCTCTCTCGGCCCGTCCTCAGCTGAGGGTCTCTTGCTCCAGGTGACTCCTCCGATGCGCCGCCAGGTTCCCTTTCTGCGAAAAGTTCTTCCCGCACGTCAGACACTGGAAGGGGGCGTCTCGCCTGCTCAGCCTCTGCTTCGGGCCTTTGGGGGTCTCCTCTTTGGTTTGCCGGGTCCTCGGCGAACCGGCGAGGCCACTTCGGCCCCCCAAGGGTTCCCCAGAGGCCTGGCGGGCAAAAGCGGCTCGGGTCTGGGGCGGCTTCCCTTGGGGCTTGACCCTCAGCCGCCGCTGCGCTAAACGCTCCTCGCCCTCGCCGCCGACGCGCCCCGCTTCGCCGTCTGGGCTGTCGGCCTGCTGCCGCTCGCAGTCCTTTTCCTGGTGAGCGGCGAGCAGCCGTTCTTCCCGGAAGCTCTTCCCGCACGCCGGGCAGGCCAAAGGGCGCCTAGCCGGACCGCCGTGCACCCGCTGGTGGGTGAGCAGGTTCTGTTTGAGGCTGAAGCGTTTCCCGCAGACGCCGCAGCCGAAGGGCTTCTCGCCGGTGTGGATACGCTGGTGGATGATGAGGTTGTGTTTGAGGCTGAAGCCGCGGCCGCACTCGGGACAGACGAAGGCCCGCTCGCCGGCGTGCTGCTGCTTCTGGTGGCGGAGCAGGCCCAGCGGCTGGCTGAAACTCTCGCCGCACACCCCGCATTTGTGCTCCTCTTCCTCCACCTGGCTGTGGATCACCAGCCCGTTCTCGTCCCCCGAGCTCTCCTCCCAGGCCGGGAAGGGAAACGGCTTGTCCCCCGGAGGGGAACCCTGGTGGGTCCGCACCGCCGCCGTCTGCTGGTCTGCCCCCTCCATGGGGACCCCCCTTTCTGCGGAGAAAACAAAGAAGAGAGTTTCAAAGACAGGCTGGAGAGAGAGAGAGAGAGAGAGAGAGAGAGAGAGAGAGAGAGACGCGACCAGAGATACCAACTGGGGCCCATTTTCTGGAGCGGGCGGCTGAAGTCAAAGCTGGGTTGCGAAAAGGAAACCCCGTTAAAACCCCAATGCAAAAATAATGATCTCGAAAGTAGGGGGGTTGTCCAGCCTCGGTCGCTTTAAGATTTGGGAACGTCCAACGTCAGGTTTTGCAGGCTGGGGAATTCTGGGAGTTGAAGTCCACGAGTCTTCAAAGTGGCCCAGCCCTTGCTCTACGGTGTGATCTGCTCCAGGTTGCTTTTGTCTCCATTTATTTCTTACCAACTTTAACTGGTGTGTGTGTGTGTGTGTGTGTATCTGTGTCTATGTATGTATATGTATCTATGAATATCTATGTATCAGTATGTATCTATGTATCTATGTATGTATTTATGTATCTATGTATGTATGTATGCATGCATGCCATTTTGTAAGCTGGTTCACATTGCTTTTAATCTCTAAGTCTTACTAACTTTAACTGGTTTTTATTTATGTATCTATGTATGTATGTACCTATGTCATTTTGTAAGTGGGTTCACATTGCTTTTCTCTACTTAATCCTTACTAAATTTAATTGGGATAGATAGATAGACAGACAGACAGACAGATAAATAGACATAGTTAGTTAGACAGATGACAAATGGATAGACAAATGATAGATAGAAGGAGAGAAAAGAGAGAGAGAAGAGAGAAGATAGACAGATAGGCAGGCAGATAGATAGATAGATAGATAGATAGGCAGGCAGGCAGATAGATAGATAGATAGATAGACAGACAGATAGATAGATACAGATACAAGTAGATTAGATAGATAGATAGATAGATAGATAGATAGATAGATAGATAAATGGATAGACATAGATAGATGACAAATGGATAGATAGATAGATAGATAGATAGATAGATAAATAGACATAGATAGATGACAAATGGATAGATAGATAGATAGATAGATAGATAGATAGACATAGATAGATAGATAGATAGATAGATAGATAAATAGACATAGATAGATAGATAGATAGATAGATAGATAGATAGATAGATAGATAGATAGATAGATAGATAGATAGATAGATAGATAGATAGATAGATAGATAGATAGGACATTTTGTAAGCTGGTTCAGATTGCTTTTGTCTTTATTTAATTCTTACTAACTTTAATTGGTGATAGATATCTTTATACCTCAGCCATCTCACTGTGAAAATGAATCTATCCATCCATCATATCTGTCTGTATCTATCAACCATCCATATCTATCTATCTATCTATCTATCTATCTATCTATCTATCTATCTATCTATCTATCTATCTATCAATCATCTGTCTGTCTACCTACCTACCATCCATATCTGTCTATCTGTCCATCCATCATTTCTATCATCTATCTATCTGTCTGTCTGTCAATAATAATAATAATAATAATAATAATAATAATAATAATAATAATAGTAATAATAATAAAGTTGGAAAGGACCTTGGAGGTCATCTAGTCCAACCCCCTGCTCAGGCAGGAAACCCTATACCATTTCAGACAAATGGCTGTCCAGTCTCAATAATAATAATAATAATAATAATAATAATAATAATAATAATAATAATAATAGTCGGGACCTTGGAGGTCATCTAGTCCAACCCCTTGCTCAGGCAGGAAACCCTATACCATTTCGGACAAATGGCTGTCCAGTCTCTTCTTAAAAACTTCCAGGGCTGTCTGGCTGGCCGTCCATCTGTCCGTCCATCCATCCATCCACCTATATACATATATACATTCACATATATACGTGTCTGTGCGCATGTGCACACACGCCCACACTCATGTCATTTTGTAAGGTGCTCACAGTCATTTCCACAGTGAGCTGGCCAAGATATAAATTGAATAAAACAAAATCAAATTTTAAAAAAGTAAAACCAATTACAACAAGCATACAACACAGGCAGTATGAATGTAACAGAACAGAATGAAGTCAAATAAAAAATAAAAAAAAACAAATATAGAAGGCAATAGAATAAAATAAAGCCAAACAAAAGAGAATGAAATAAGAGTAAAATAAAATAGAATAAAATAAAATAGAGTAGAATGAAATAAAATAAAATAATAAAATGAAATAGGATAGGATAGGATAGGATAGGATAGGATAGGATGGGGTGGGATAGGAACTGGAAGGGACCTCAGAGGTCATTTAGTCCAGCCCCCTGCTCAAACAGGAGAACCTATACCATCTCAGAATAGAATGAAATAGAATAGAATAAAACAAAACAAAATCATAAAATGAAATAGAATGAAATAAAATAGAGTAAAATAAAACAAAATAAAATAAAAAATAGAATAGAATGAAATAAAATAAAAAATAATAGAATAGAATAGAGAATGTAATAGAAATAGAATAGAATAGAATAATAGAAGAGAAGAGAAGAGAAGAGAAGAGAAGAGAAGAGAAGAGAAGAGAAGAGAAGAGAAGAGAAGAGAATAGGGAATGTAATGGAAATAGAATGTAATGGAAAGAATAGAATAGAATAGGAATATAGAATAGAATAGAATAGAATAGAATAGAATAGAATAGAATAGAATAGAATAGAATAGAAAATATGGAATAGAATAGAATAGAATAGAGGAATGATGAATAGAATAGAATAAGGAATAGAATAGAATAAGGAATAGAATAGAATAGAATAGAATAGAATAGAATAGAATAGAATAGAATAGAATAGAATAGAATAGAACAGAACAGAATAGAGAATGTAATGGAAATAGAATGTAATGGAAAGAATAGAATAGAATAGAATATAGAATAGAATACAGAATAAAATTAATAGAATAGAATAGAACAGAATAGAATAACTTTATTGTCACTTTAAACGTACACTAATCAGGATAGGATAGGATAGGATAGGATAGGATAGGATAGGATAGGATAGGAGCTGGAAGGGACAGAGGTCATTTAGTCCAACCTCCTGCTCAAGCAGGATAACCTATACCGTTTCAGAATAAATAGAATGAAATAGAATAGAATGAAATGAAATAAAATAAAAAATAGAAGAGAATGAAATAAAATTAAAAAACAAAATAATAAAAGAGAATAGAATGAAACAGAATAGGATAAAACAAAACATAAAATGGAACAAGATAAAATAAGAAAACCAGATAGAGAAAAAACGCAGTAAAATAAAACAAAAGAGAATGACAGAACAGAACAAAATCATCAAATGGTATACAATAAATAAAATAAGAAAACAAAAGAGAACGAAAGAAAGCAACGCAATGAAACAGAATGGACTCAAATCAAAACGAAGCCCAAGAAAACAATAAAACCGACTGAAATGCAATTAAAAAAAAAAAAAAACCCCAAACAGCAAAACCAAACAGAGTGAAATAAAACAATACAACAAGAATGTAACAAAAGAAAACAATTTATGAAAAAACAAAAAAAAACAATAAAAGGGATTCCCCGTGCTGGGCAGGGATTCAGAGGCCACATTGATTTATTTCGATATTAAAAAAAAATAAAATAACATAACATTTATAGATTCCGTATTCGGAGAGATTTGGGGTCTGGCCTTCCGAAAGGCTGCGCCAGCCCACGGACCGGAGTCGGCCGCCTCGCAGGGCTGTGGGGAGTCGGCGGGTTTTTCCTTACAGACATTCCCTCACCCAACTGGGGAACATCATCAGTGCTAGAAGGGATGGGTGTGTGTGTGTGTGTGTGTGTGTGTGTGTGTGTCTGTGTTGGTATTACCTAGCTGGCTGATGCAATGCCGGAAAGAAAGCCACCAAAGAAGGACCCCAGAATCCTCCCCATCCTCATCTCCACACACCCCACTCCCTTCTAGCACTGATGACGTTCCCCAGTTGGGTCACGAAACGTCTGCAAGAAGACCACCCAGCTCAGAGAGCACCCAGGACCCCCCGCAATCTTTCCTTTCCTTTCCTCCTCCACTCCACACATCCCACTCCCTTCTAGCCTGGATGACGTTCCCTAGTTGGGTCACGAAACGTCTGCAAGGAAACCAGCCAGCTCACAGAGCACCAAGGACCCCACAGTCCGTCCTTCCTTTCTTTCTTCCTGCCTTCCTTCCTTCCTTCCTTCTAATAATAATAAAGTTGGAAGGGACCTTGGAGGTCATCTAATCCAACCCCCTGGTCAGTCAGGAAACCCTATAATAATAATAATAATAATAATAATAATAATAATAATAATAGTAGTAGTAGTAGTAGCAATAGTAGTAAAGTTGGAAGGGACCTTGGAGGTCATCTAGTCCAACCCCCCTGCTCAGGCAGGAAACCCTATAATAACAACAATAACAATAACAATAATAATAATAAAGTTGGAAGGGACCTTGGAGGTCATCTAGTCCAACCCCCAGTCAGGCAGGAAACCCTATAATAATAATAATAATAATAATAATAATAATAATAATAGTAGTAGTAGTAGTAGTAGTAGTAGTAGTAGTAGTAGTAGTAAAGTTGGAAGGAACCTTAGAGGTCATCTAGTCCAACCCCCTGCTCAGGCAGGAAACCCAATAATAATAATAATAATAATAATAATAATAATAATAATAATAATAATGATGATGATGATGATGATGATGATGTTGGAAGGGACCTTGGAGGTCATCTAGTCCAACCCCCGCTCAGGAAGGAAACTCTATATACCATTTTGGACAAATGGCTGTCCAGTTTCTTCTTCAAAACTTCCAGTGTTGGAGCATTCACTGCTTCTGGAGGCAGGTGGTTCCACTGGTTAATCCTTCCTTCCTTCCTTCCTTCCTTCCTTCCTTCCTTCCTTCCTTCCTTCCTTCCTTCCTTCCTTCCTTTCCTCCACTCCACACACGCAATTCCCTTCCTTCTAGCCCTGATGATGGCTCCCTGGTTGAGCCGGAGACGAATTCACGAGGACCCTCCCAGTCCTCGTC